CCCCGTCCCCCCCTACCCCCTCACACGCTGCGTGTCCTCACACGCGCACAGAAGGTTAGGATTGAGGAAGTGCGAGGGATGCACAGGAAGGGTGTTAGCCTGCGCGCCAAACTTGTGAGGGGGACCGTCCATAAATACTAGTCGCCGACTCTCCCGCGGCGCCTCTCGCGGGTAAACAGACAGACCCGTCGGGCAGGGCGTGCTTTATGGGCAGCCCCCCGCACGTGTGAGCGACTTGTTACGCGAGACAATCCGTCGTTAATCCGTGAGAACAAACGGCGGAGTCAGGTGCCGGGTGCTGCCCCTTGTGCCGCCCTCCCTCCACATCGCCCGTTACTTCTCTCCCCTTCTCTCTCTCTCTCTGCTCTCTCTTTCTCTCTCTTCCTTTTTATTTTAGCAAAGGGAAGAAGTGGGGAGGAGAGAGAAAAGAGTGGATCGAAAAAAGAGGTCGCTTACATGCGTGTTACAGTGATTGGGGCAGCAAGAGAGAAAGAGTGAGGGGATAAGGAAGGAGCTAGCAGCGAGAGAGGGGGGCAGCGATGGGGCGAGGGCGCGGCCTGTGGGTAAGCAAATAAGAGAGAGAGAGCGAGAGAGAGAGAGAGAGAGAGGCGAAGAGTGTTTCCACGGCTTGGATAGGCTGCGCTGCGGGCGGCGGAGCCGGCCAATTCGCCCGGGCGGCCTTCAGGTCGCAAAAATATTACACAGCCCTTGCACGAATGTAAAGCGGCAGCGATACGGCGGCAGGGCTGTTAACGTTAATTTGAAATGTTAGCGCGCTAACGTTAAAGCGATAACGAACCAAATTAACGTAACGCGTTATCGTTAATACGTTTTGACACATGTAACGCGCTGACGATAACGTTAACTTTAACTATTAACGCCGTTAACCCGTTAACGTTAACTGATAACGCCGTCATCGTTTATCTGACTATCGTTGCTGAGGGCGCTGCAGAGCGCGACCCGGACGAGCAGTAAACAACAGTTCTTGCTAAAGGCGACAAAATTCAATAGTATCACATGGACATATCCGTGCAAAATGGATTATTTGTACGCCCTCCCGCAGAAAAGCGTTAACGTTAACGGCGTTATCCCGCTAACCTCAAAAGTAACGTAGCGCGATAACGTTAATGCTTCGGCGTAACTGTAACGCGCTAACGTTACTCGTTAACTAACGTTAACGGCGTTAATAAACGGCGTTAATCGTTAAATTAGCGTTAACAGCCCTGTACGGCGGCGGGCGACCAACCACTTTGTCGTGCCGGCCCACAGCCTGGCCGGGGGCCCAGTCGTCTGCGTGCGGGCTGCTCCTCCTGCCGCTGCTACCCCACTCCTGCAGATATGCACAGACACACTGCTAGCTCCCCACCAACTCTGCAGATATGCACAGACACACTAATTCACACACACACAAGGGGGAGCGGTGCAAACAGCAGGGAGACCTCCCCTTCCTTCCCACCCACAGTCCGAGACAGCGAACGGCTCCGTAAATATTTTCCCCAGCGATTCACTCTATCACGTGTGAGTGTGTGTGTATGTGTGTATGTGTGTGTGTGCGTGCGTGCGTGTCTGCGGGTCTGCGCGCACACTAAATGGCGAGGGACAATTTTTGTACGTAGGCTGGATGTGTCTTTGAGCACATCTAAACCAAATTCAAATTTGTATCCAAGTCACATACAAAATATAGCATTTGTACCTAGCCTAGGTACACTTTGTACCTCTGTACAGACAAATTTGTATCTGATGAAGATGTGCTCAAAGACACATCTAACTAAGGTACAAAAATTGTCCCTCCCCATTTAGAGTGCGAGCGAGCGGTGTGCCACTAGAAAAATATTGCTGTGGTGTGCCAAGGGAGGCCTCAACAGTAATTCGCTTTTAAATCACCCCCCCCCCAAAAAAAAAAACAAGAAAAAACACGGTATCGTTTGACTAAGAAATTTAAAAAAATGCAAGGAAATTTTTGTCTGTCGTTAAAGGTATTTCCATTGTTTTCAAGAAAATTAAGTTGATCAATGGACATTTTTACTTCATTTTAACGACATTTGCCTTCCGCCAAAGAAAATTTTGGACGACCTTTGCGCCTGCTGGCCACATGGTGGCCACCACCGCGCTATATAGCAGCTGCAGCCGACCTTGACCGGGCATATCCAAAGAATGAAGCAGGAGCTCGGCTCGGAGCAATAAGCGTCCCTTTAAAGGAGACCCCTCCCCCGACCCCAACCCTCCGACTGGAGCGAGGCCGCACTACCCGCACGGACCAAAACTGCTTGTTCCTATCGGTTATTTCCTTACGTCCCCCCTCCGGGCAAGCCGGCCGGCCGATGCCACACGGGCTGCCGCCGTCGTTCTAAACTGATAAGAAATACTGCCACCCGAGAGAGGAGGAGCAGCAGGAGGGGGAGGAGGAGGAGGAGCAGGAGGAGGAGGACGAGAACAGAGAAACGTTTCGGTCTCTCGTGCGGAAGTGAGCTCCCTCCCCCACCACCCCAGTACGTCCGAGTCCGCCCGTCCGTCCGTCCGTCCACCGCCTGTTTGCCAGGCTCGTTACGGCAGCGCACACGTGCCTGCAGGGCCCCGGCAGGGCCCCTGGTGGGTAGGCCGCGGCTCGCGCACGGCGCGCACGCGCCAGGTGGGTTGCCTACCCGCCGCGCTGCGGGCGCTCCGCGGCCAGGTCGGTCGGTGGAGCGCAGTGAAGTGCACAACTTTTCTTCTGCTCCCTCCCCGTTCCCGAACAGCTAAGAAAAAAATTGCGCGTTTCTTTTCTACATGATGTGAAAAGAAAGGCATTTCACCGTGAGAAATTCTTGTAAGGATAACAGTAAAAATTTCCATGATGAGTGTTGTAAAATTACAAGTCACAATTGTAAATGTACGAACAAATTTAGAACCTACAATTTTGTACATCGGAAATACGAAATATGTTGTAAATTTACAATGATATTTTCCAACTGGTACTGAAAATAATCTCGGTGAAATTTTTCCGTAAACACGCAGCGACAACAGAACACACTTCACAACAGTGCAGGTCTCCGCAGCAGGCCGGGCCGCGGCACAGTGCGCCGTTTGCCTTGGGACCCACCCCATTTGCTGCGACATCGCAACTGCATTTCGATTGTTTGCCATGTTCGCCCGCCGGGGCCGCCGGGCCGGGCGCGCCGCACAGAAGCAGCAGCAGCAGCAGCGCTCGCTGGGCGGGGCCGGGGGGCCTCAATTACTTACTTGGCCAAAAACGCTAAAGAGGAAAGGATAATTCATATTATTCTCACCTCCAGAGAAATCGACGGATAATCGATCCGTTTGGCCTAAGCCATCACTACTCTCAACGTATCGAGCAGCCGGCGCGCGCCACGACGCTCTGCGGCGACAGCCAACGCCTGACGCGGCGCAGTCACTCAAACAGATGAAGTACTTTTTCATGTGGAGCAATTTTCTAATGGGAGCGCGGCGCGGGAGCGCCCCGGCGGAGGCGCGGAGAGGCCGTGGGGAGGAGAGGTATAACACCTCGAGAGGGATCGCCGCGCTTGCCTAGGAAAGGCTCTCTCCCCGGCTCTCCCGGTTTCCCACGGGGCTCTAATACGGCCTCCTGCGACGCTAAAAATTATTTTCCCAAATAAGCGAGCAGAGGCAGCGCAACGCGTTATTTTCCAGTGAAGGTGCGTCATGGCCTTCGGTCATCACGACCCTAACAAGGAAAGAACATGGCGCCTCTTAGCCGAGCGTTACACGAAAGGTACACGTTAAAATCAGAATGGTTTCAACAAGCACACTGGTAAAATGTGCCATTGGTTCACATGCAAGTGCTTAACTACATTGCACTCTCTTTAAAAACTTTGACAATGGATTTTTGATCACACTGAAACGTTGTCAGTAGTAAAGTTGAACACTGTTTGGCATGCTTGTGATGCAGCTTATTTGAACACTTGTCAGAGTTCAAGTTTACTGTTGCACACTTTTGAGTATTGAAATTTCCAAAATTTCCAGTCCGACACTTAAATATGTGCACCATAGCATTGAATACACTATCATGCCCAGTCCATGCTAGTGTCAAAATATCAGTGTATCAATCTAAAAAGTGCTTTTCGTTTTCGCCCTTCCCAGCTCCAATAAACAATTTGTCGAAACGTTTATAACGGCGATGTTTTCGACAAACCTCGTCTCGCGGCCGGGGCTCCCCGCGCATGCAGATTTAAACCGCGCGGCCTATCTCATGCAGCTGATGACTGCGAAACCAATTTGCAAGTCGGGCGCGCGTGACGGACGGACGGAAATCCGAAAGCCGACCGGGCAATAGTCGGTGTCGAGTCGGCGGCACG